AAAAACACAGCTCAGCTCACACACCATAAAACAAAGTAGAAGTACAAACTATTTAAACGCAATAGAAGCAACAATCTACTAGATCAGTGATTCTCAAATGGGGGTACGCGGACCCCTAGGGGTACGTTGGGGTACTGCAGGGGGTACGTGCGATTAAAAGAAAAAAGAAAAAAAAGGTTAACAAAAAAAATACCATGCATGATTACAAAAATAATCTTAGTACAAAAAGTTAAATNGGCCGTTACACAGAGAAGACCTGTCTATGCTGCCCCGGAACGCCTCGTTGGAGATTTCTCTTTTTCCATTGTTTACTTCCTGGGCATAGTGACGTATTTCGGATATAGTGACGTAACGTAACGGCACCGCGGAACTCAGCCTGGGCACACACACAAACTCCCAGCCCGGCTGCGGGTGTGTGTGTGCCCAGGCTGGGTTTCGCGGTGTCTCGCTGTCTCGCAGACGGCCACTGGGCTCACAGGGAGGGGGGGGGCAGGAGCTCCAACAAGCCGTTAAGGACAGAGAGTGAATACAAATACTTTACAGAGATGCTGTATGAGAAACCAATGTGAGTTTGGAAAATTGCACAATATACATTTATTCTAGTAGACCTCAAAAATGGAATTATGATCAGTAGAAACGGCCATGACATGGGACCTTTAAGGTAAAATGGCTTGATCATGTGACCCAGAGAGCTGCTTCTGAAATAGCTCATGTAATAAAGACATAACTCTGCACGCACGCCAGCTGATATATCTGTTGAAGGAGAGCTATTCTCAGCTTACAGCGGCATTTTTAACTGCAGCTCTTCTGCAGAGCCTGTAATCATGGAGACAAAAGGTAGCAAGGCCACAATCCCTCCTGCATTCCCCTGCATGCACCTACAGCTGCTGTGTTCTCCTTCTCCATGTAAACTTACTCACAACAAGTTGCATTGCATTTTAGTATCTTTGACACTTTCCGGACAATAGAGAACTTGTTAAAGTTGAGAGATAAAGTCCATTTACTGTACAATATTTATATATGAAGAGAAGCTCCAGACTAATATACGAGTGCTTATTGACAATAACCTGAGACCTAGGAAAAGCAAGTAGTTTTTCTTCTGTAGAAAGGGTTTCATACATCTCAATAAACAGGAGAAGTCTGTCTGTATTTATTTATGTCCTTCAAGTTTTCAGAAGCCGTTCATCTGATGGACTTCAAACCAGGTGCATTGCTGAGGACCAGGAAGTTCAGTATTGAGTTGTTTCAATGAGCAGTTCTTAACAAAAGCAATCAGACTAACAGGTGCAGCCTTAATACAAAGAAAACTCAAGGAGAGCAATTAATCTAATGCAACAATCTGCAAAACAAGCAACAAGGAGGCTTGGAGGGTTAGGGTTGGGTTTTGCTTGAAAGAAACTAGGTCTTACAAAGTGTTGTCCGGCGTTGTCACAAAACTCAAGTGTTTAAAGTTGCCACACTGGAAGGTGGGGTGAAAGGGCAGCTCAGATAAGAGTGGTGCAGGGATGATGTTTTTTTGTAGGCGGGCCCTGAAGTAAAAGTCGCAAGGGCTCCATGACACCACAAACAATGTCTTTTTTTTTAACATTTCTGCAAACTGTATTGCATAGAATCTGGTAAAGAGGCCCTACTTTGCTTTTGGGGTTTTCCCTTTCCTGTAGTGCGTTGTAAAGATTGTTGTGCCTGTCAATGGTTTGCAAATGCTAACGTCACATGTCGCAGTAGAGACACAACATACATTGGGGTATTATGTTATACAATAAAACGTAAAAATCTCGTGAACCACAGATCCTATTTCAGGCATCTAACAAACACGCAATTAAAATCTTGTTGACTTTAAGATAAGCAAACTGAAATAGCTAGAATGCTAAGTCATTTACGAGTTTTAGCACTCATTCCTGCACCACTCTATAGAGAATTTGTTTAAAAATGTAGATATTGATGCACATTTTTCAGAGAGTCCCATCAGAGAGACCCCAGGGGTGCACACATGAAAAGTGTGGTGTGTTAAGGAGAAGGTTTCTGAAGCATTTCGACCATACGACAAGCAGCAATAATGAAGTTTACTGGCGCCTTGAAATGTTTTAAATGTGAAGAACTCAACTGTTGTTAGAATTTATAAAAAATGGGGACATGGCAGAAGCTATGGAAGCTTAAAGTGAAAGGACTAAACTACTGTGAGGAAATGTTGAATATGGTTAATCTATTTGGAGAATTGTAAGCTGTACTCTGCACTGTTTGTGGATATGCTTTTATTGTATGTATGTTGAATTTGTTAATTAACTTGTACTTTAAACTGATTTCTAGTAACTGCACACTTTTGATTTATTTATTTTTGCATTATTTTGTAATCTGCCATATGTCTAATGTTGGGGAATGTTCGGTTGTGTTTGTGTAATGTGAACAAATGTTGGGAACTCACGCTGGCCGAGCTGCGCCTCAGGAACTCTCTCCCTGATGATGCGGCAGGCGTCGTACACCATGGTGGAGGGCTCAAACTGCATGGTCTTCACCACGTTCCCCACACCGATCTTTAGGGACAGGGCCACCATGATTGCTGCTCTGCACCTCCACCCAACTCACACCTGCAGGAGGACAAACACGGAGAAGGTCAACACACACTGTCTGTTTTTAAATCACTTCTGAAAACCAGCCTGTTCTCCTTAGCGTATATTGACATCTAGTACAGTGCTTCTCAAACTTTTTTCAGTAATGTACCCCCTTTGAAACATTTTTCAGCCAAGTACCCCCTGACCGAGATTTTTGATTAGAAAAAAGCCTATATAAATTAGGGATGCCAGAAACTGACCATGATCAAATTCGAAAATCGGACAGCCCTGGCGAATATTAATCGATTATTCGCCGCTGCATATTTTGGTTGAAACTAAACCAGGAAAAAAAAGAAAAACCTAAATTATAATAAAAAAATATATAAATAAAATCGAATTTTAAAAAATAATTTTCGGTTATGGAGACTGTAACGAAAAATCGAATAATCGCTGGCATCCCTAATTTAAATAATTACAATATAGTGATGTTCCATCAGTGTGGGATGTATTAACTCCTTCATGCATGAGTTTTCCAAGGAGTTTTTCAATTGAAGTAATATATGTTTAACAAACAAATAAACAAAATTATATATTATGAAAAACTATAAAATACAATACACAAATTTTACATGTTTATATGAGGAGCCCCTTAGTGGTTCTAGGAATATTTTATATAAAATTGTGTTTTCTATTTAACTTTTGTACTAAGATTATTTTTGTAATCATGCATGGTATTTTTTTTGTTAANTATATATATTAAATATTCATATAAGTATTTTTATCTAGTCTTAAAGTTACAACCGGCCCTCTGAGTGATTTCATCTCGGGCCACATTAGCATTATGGTTGCACTCAGAGGGCCGGTTGTAACTTTAAGACTAGATAAAAATACTTATATGAATATTTAATATATATAAAATAATGTATTATATTACATTATTGCCTCTGCATTGGATTATTATGGGATAGAGTAATAACTTCATAATTAACTATGTCTGAAAGCTATGTCTAGGGCAAATAATTGCAAGTCTCTTCAGTGAGCATGTCACAAAATGATTTAAAAAGAAAAGCCAAATTCTGGAGAAAAATTTTAAAAAAATATATAAAGTGACATTTTGGGAAAAAAAGTTAAATTTTGAAGTAAGAAAAAGTTAAATTTTGAAGAAAAAAGGCAAATTCTGAGAAAAAAGGCATATTTGAGATGCATTGTGGGACATGGGCACCGTGCTTCTGTCAATTGGCATGTAACCGTATAATAAACATACAATATTCTTTCCAAGCTCTTGTGGGGCCACATGAAATGAAGTCACGGGCCGTATTTGGCCCCCAGGCCTTGAGTTTGACACCCCTGTAGAGGATGAGATATATTGAGAAAATCAAATATGAAGAATTATTTGTAACCATGTATATCAATATTGCAACAATATTTAAGGGTTGACTCTTGATGCCTTCATAAAATATTAACAAAAAGAGATTGATTAAAGAGAGATTTATTGTGGATAAAAAATCATCAGTGATGTGGAAGTGATAACTTTGCGGGTAAAGTCAATCTGGTAAGTTAAAGATATTAACCACATTTCTGTAATGCAGGAAAAGACACCTATGAAGCATAACAATATTAATACATACAAAATCAAACACGTTACTTAGCCTCATATCAAGATTCCAATATAATAACGATATATTTTTCAGCCCTACATGTCCATTTTGCTGATTGATGAGATAATTTCTCTTTGACAAAACCTACTTCTATTCAATTGTATTGTATTTACTTGCACAATTTGTTCTGTTTTTATCTGTTTTATTGTGTTGCTCTGTTGGAGGAGCCTGTGACCTAAGATTTTCATCGACATAACTACACTGTAGCTATGTACGAATGACAATAAAAAGCCTTGAACCTTGAACCTTTCTACCCTCTTCCCCTCTTCCCCTCTTCCCCTCTTCCCCTCTCCTGTAACTAGGTGAGATGGTCCGTCAGGCCCGTATCCTCGCCCAGGCCACCTCCGATCTGGTCAACGCCATCAAGATGGACGCCGAGGGAGAGACCGACCTGGAGAACTCACGCAAGCTTCTGTCCGCCGCCAAGCTGCTGGCTGATGCCACCGCCAAGATGGTGGAGGCTGCGAAGGTCTGCCTTTTCTCTTTCATCCGGTCTGCGTTCAACACCATGAACAAACCTCTTAATTTGAATGAGTCTGTTCTTTTTTTTTTTTTTTATTGAACTGTTTATTTTACAAATCAAGACATACGCTGACATAGGACTTTTCCATTCAAATGACAAATAATAATATGGTAAAACAAAATATGAAATAAAATAAAGTAAAGTAAAACATTTACAAGTTAAAATAAAAAAGATAATTATAAAAAAATTAATTAATAATAGTAAAGTAAATAAAAGCATTTTACACGAGGAGTGACATCTTTAGCAGAGCAGGATCGGTTACACGGTTACACGGGGACATTGTCCATAATGTTCTTTTGAATTTAGTGTTATTTTAATAATGTGTAATGATGTGTTTCTCCCCAGGGTGCAGCAGCGAACCCCGACAGTGAGGAGCAGCAGCAGAAGCTTCGAGAGGCAGCTGAAGGTCTGCGTATGGCCACCAACGCTGCCGCACAGAACGCTATCAAGAAACGCCTGGTCAACAAGCTCGAGGTAGAACAGAAGGAGAAAGAGCAAAGCCCAAACTGAGTGACATTTACCGTCCAGTTTTGCATATAACACAGATTTATTGGATTGACTGGAGGAAGATGGCTTAACAGGTCCTCAGCCGCTAGAATGAACAGGTTTTTAAACATTGTAGCTTCAATAGTGATGGATGGATTTGAATCCACCTCACAAATCCAATTTTCATTTTTAAAAAATTAAATCTCTCTATCATTCCCTAAAATAGATGCTCCCAGTATTTTCGTACATTTTTGTATCATAGGTTACACAGAAAATAAGAAATATTGTAATTGCTGTTCTACATTAATTAAGGAACAATCTTGTTTAAAAAACTTTTTTACTTAATTTTCTTGTTTTCTCAGTTCAATGGAACATGTTTAGACCTCTCCTGACTTGCTGACGTGAAGCTCATTCCCAGTATTAATGATATTAGCTGCCAATTTAGTGCCACCACTTATTTAACCACCTATACAACTTTAAATATGTTTGTTACAGTATATAGAGACACTGTTTTAATTCGGCTTATGTATGCTTTGTGTTTCCTTTCAGCATGCAGCCAAACAAGCAGCAGCAGCAGCCACTCAAACCATTGCTGCCGCCCAACACGCAGCCTCCTCCAGCAAGAACCATGCGGCGCAGCAGCAGCTGGTCCAGGCTTGCAAGGTAACATCTTCTCAATGTATACATCAGGTTTACAGACACAGTGGCTGAATCTCAAAGTTTCACCTATTTTTCTTAATTTGTACCCTTCTGTCTGTTCTCTCGGTTTCTGTTTTTTCCTCTCGCATCTTTGTTTGCACCATTTTAAGTCCAACACTTAATATATATGTACTACACTTTATTACAATATAATTATAATATACCATTCGGACCTCTCCCTTTCGGTTGCTGTTTTTGTCTCTAAAATGTGTAAATGTATCACTGGAGTCCCTCAGGGCTCTGTGCTGGGTCCCCTCCATTTTTCTCTGTATACCAATGCATCTTGCTCTGTTGAAAAACATGTTATTTAAAATGTTTTAGCTGTTTTGAAGCTAATGTACCCACATGTTTCTTGCTTTTCTGATTTTGTATCTTCATGGTTAGTTGCACTTTATCAGGCACTTTGTATAAAATCGTCAACTAAGTGAAATGTAATATAATGTGTTTGTTTGGTTTGTGTGTGTGTGTTATCAGATGGTGGCAGAGCAGATCCCTCAGCTGGTTCAGGGGGTCCGGGGCAGTCAGTCCCAGCCCGACAGCCCGAGTGCTCAACTGGCCCTCATCAGTGCCAGCCAGAACTTCCTGCAGGTGACTGACACACAAGCAGCTGATTTAACTCAGTGAACACGGGGAAAAAATGCTAGATTTCACAAATAAAGTACAACAGTCTATGGGAGAACAGCAACTGACATCTAACAGAACAGTTCAGTTATAGTGGTATAGCTGTGATACATGTAGCTACACACAGATGTGTCTTTAGAATCAGAGGGGCGCTCTGTGCGGCGCCTCTTCCAGGTTTTATGGTTATTTGGGTTATGTGATTGGTCCTTTTGTCCCTCCAGAACTCTTTTTTTGAAACATGCTAATAATTTGTGTCTCCCTCTCCACCAGCCTGGTGCTAGGATGGTGACAGCCTCCAAGGCCACAGTCCCCACCATCGGAGACCAGGCTTCCGCCATGCAGCTCAGCCAGTGTGCTAAGAACCTGGCCAGCGCTCTGGCTGAGCTCCGGACCACCTCACAGAAGGTACTGCATAACTTTAGTCCATTGTCTTAATCATGGGGACTCACCCCAACATTCACTAGCATGCTTTTAGATTTACACAATGACAAGTTGTATAAATTAATCTCAGTTCTAACTTCTACTACAAAACAAGTTCTTCAGGCCTCATTTAAATTGAATGTTGCACAAAACACAAAATATTCCTGATATGAATTGGTAGGCAGTGTTACTGTATGTGTGGCGGCTCAATCCCCAGTTACGTTTGAGTCGCCGAGAGGCTAAACTTGGCTATAAAGAAGAACTATGGACTTTCTATGGAAGAGACTGTCCATAGTGAAGCAACATAGTTTTTGGGATATTTAATAAACGAAATCATAACATAGTAACTATGGAAAAAATGGTCAACAGAAAAAATGACAGCACAAGCTCACCCTCTGTTATCCCCTCTCGACATGAAACAGGTGACTTAAATAGACGAACCACACCCATGTGACAATTACCGGAAGTGCTCAACAAACAAATAAAAGTGACGTAAACAAATAATAATAATAATACAAATAATGAACTTGGGCTAAGTAGCATTATGGCACCTACAGTATGTTTTAAGTAAAGGATGGGCCTCATGCAGGAACATCTTTGTATTATTATCCAAAACTCCAAGTCAGTTTTAGCAAGCGCTTCAATGGGAAAACGTTTCTCAGAAATGGCCCCTTGAAGCCTGAGTAAATGACACCTCTTCATATGGCATGGGATTTTATTTTTTAACAATTTTGAGCTTTTCTACAAAACAAGTTTTCTATATAAGAAGTTTTATCTCCTGTCAATTATTTTAAAGCCTGTCGCTCAGACAGACACCTCACTGATATGTGTGTGTTTGTGTGTTTTTGTGCATGCAGGCTCAGGAGGCGTGCGGTCCGTTGGAGATAGAAAACGCTCTGTCCACTGTACGAGGTCTGGAGAAGGAAATCCAGGAGGCCAAGGCTTCAGCTAAGGCGGGGATACTGAAACCACTGCCAGGAGAGACGGTGAGACACACACACACACACACACACACACACACACACACACACACACACACACACACACACTGATATTATGAACAGTATGGCTGACAGTGTGTGTCCTCTCTGTGTCTCAGCTGGAGAAGTCCTCTCAGGATCTGGGGAGCAGCACTAAGGCAGTNTGTGTGTGTGTGTGTGTGTGTGTGTGCGTGTGTGTGTGTGTGTGTGTGTGTGTGTGTGTGTGTGTGTGTGAGAGAGAGGAAGTCCACGGATTGGTCCAAACATAACGGCTCCGCGGACGTAACGTAACGGCTCCAAGGATCGGTCAATTTGGACCAATCTGCAGAGCCGTTACGTTACGCCACGATACCCAGGAAGTAAACAATGGAAAAAGAGAGATCTCCAACGAGGCGTTCTGGGGCAGCATAGACAGGTCTTCTCTGTGTTAGAGTTTTACTCGCTACAGGGTGTGCTTTGAGGGTTTGTGACTCTGCAGACCGTTTACATGCAGAAAAAGCTTCATAACACACAAGGGGACGGGTAATAACCGGAAAAGCATGACATGGGACCTTTAAAGAAACACAAAGAGGGAAAGCTAGTATCTCTGACTTTGCCTAAAACAGCTTTTTCTATTCTCCAGCAGATGAAACGATCCAGTTCTTACCAAGACAAGTGGTCACATTTTGAAGTGTAACCGGATATGTTATCCAGAGTCCCACTGACCTACTAAACATGGAAAGAGAATCAAAATCAAGATACTTTGTTCATTCCAGGGGGGAATTAGGTCTCCTGGCAGTTTCACCTCATTAGAATAACATAAATAAACGTTAATATAAACAAAAGTTGATGTCAATCAAAGTCCTTGTGGCCACAGGGACACAGGCTCATGATGAAGACATGATGAAGCGCTTGTTAGTTCGTCAAATACTCCCTTGTTTCCATAAATGAACAACAAACTAATTCCAGATATTCCCTCTGACTCCTTGCTATCGTTCTTAGCTTGTCCATTTCATTAGTCACTGATTTAAGAGCTTCTAGTATCTCTGTATTTCCATACCCAGCTCTCCTTCTTCTCTCTGGTTTAGGATAGCCGTTGTTCCTTCCAGCGTGCTAGCCGGTTTTATCGTGATCAGCAATGTCTGATGTAAACAAGGCCATAAACAAAGACCTCTCTAGACTTCAGAGAGGGCACAGCGTAATAAGTTACTATTAGGAGTTACTAAAAGAAGAATTAAATAAGCATGAACATTTTAAAATCTAGCAAGAGCAACTGCATCAGGCGCCGCATGTGTACTAGACCAGTGGTTCTCAAACTTTTTTCAATAATGTACCCCCTTTGAAAAAAAATTCAGCCAAGTACCCCCTGATCAGCGCAAACACTATTTGTTAGGGAAAAAGTGCCTGTATAAAGAGGAACAGTACAGCGCTGCACCATCAGTCTGATTTATTGAAACAACAACATTGTAACTGAGAAACACTTGAATGCTACATTTCAAATGTTTACAATCCATCACTAAATTCATTGCAAACCAATTTTAACATCATGCAATAAAACTGAGACGACATTAGTTGCATTGAACTGATCTGTTTAATAAGTTGTACTTACAGTGAGAAACATGGGCTTGTGCTTCACTGAGGACCTTTGTCATTCTGACAGGGAGGCTAAGTTATTACACTGCGTTTTGAAATATGTGTAACTATGTTGATATAAAACCCACACTGCTCAAACTTCGTTATGTTTACTAAAATTGGTATATTTATTTATTTATTTATTTAGGGGCGTGGGGAATGAAGAGAAAAAAAGATATGAGCATTTTATGAGCATTTTGACCCCTCATATAAACATATGCATAATGCTGCGATATACTTTGCGGCCACACGCCGTTGCCAAGCAACGCTTATTGTTTAGGTGTCCTTTGATAAGCAGGCAATCATATCATTAGCTAGAACTAGCTGGATCTGATAGATTTGGACATAGACGCAAGTGAAGTATAACCGGACGCGAGAGAGAGAGATCAGAGATCTGATCAGCTGCTGCTGTCGGAGAACACGCAGCTCTTCCGGATCAAAGCTCCCCCGCTGTGACGGACCGTTGAGTGGAGCAAAATACACTAAGAGTTAGACCTAACACACTTAGCTAGTTTATCTACTCTGGAACTAGCTAAAATAGTTATAGGCCTACATATATTTATTCTTTACTGTCGGGTCACTCATTACAGATTCAGCGAGCTGCACGAGCCTGACGGGCTGTTAGGAGAGGGAGAGGAAAAGAGAGCAACCCGTTTATTTTTCCCATTTTATTATCCAGAATGACTGTAAACCTTTGAAGAAAGTAGTTAATCTAGCCTACTATTATTAGTTTGTTTGAATCCATTAATTATGTTTTGTTTTTTTCATTAACATAAAATAAATCTAACGTACCCCCTACAGTACTCCAACGTACCCCTAGGGGTCCGCGTACCCCCATTTGAGAACCACTGTACTAGACAAGTGCACATATTTGAAAAGTGACATCCAACACAAGCACTTACAGTAAGACCATAATAGCTCAATAGTGGCTGAAAACCACCGTGTGCATGTATGCCAAGAAACACAGCTCCAGTGACTCACTGAGTATTTCTGTTTCCTCCTGCAGCCAATGACTACGGGCTGTTTCTGTCCGATGAAGACCCAAAGAAAGGCATCTGGCTGGAGGCGGGCAAGGCCCTGGACTACTACATGTTGAGGAACGGGGTGAGTCATCTTCACGCTCTCTGCACACCGCTTAATGCTTCAAATCATTTCAGCACTCCCCAGCCACCCACACATGTGCTCAGTGTCTGTTCACCAGCTGATCCCAACACCTCCAGGATGTGTGGACTCAACACAAAGGAATGCATTAAACTGTTTGCCATTGAACCAGAAGCTCCAGACGTAACATATGATGTCTGCAGTAGACTATGCACTATATTATTTAGACCCTCCAGAAAAACGCGGGCTAAAATCCTTGATTATCTGTTTTAATTGTTTTAATCGTTCTATGTCCTATATATATTCATCTTGCACTGTTGGAGGAACCTGCGACTTAAGTTTTTCATTGCCATATCTACACTGTAGCTAATGTGCACATGGCAATAAAGCCTTGAATCTTGAATCTATAACAGCTGAGGATCACAGATACTATAACTCACATTCATCTACTGATGTTCATGCTTAAACAACACCTACTATTATAAACACATCCACTGGCTGGAGTGGGTTTAAACTAATTAGCGTTAATTAGGCTAGTATTTGTTAGCATTGCTTTTGCTGGTTGCTGTGCCGCCATTAAAAGAGGCCCCTTAGGACAACAGAACAATGTGACTTTAGAAAAATAAGAAAGCAAGATATTTATGATAAAAAATGATTTTATTTATAGGGAAAACCAGCCTTTCATTAAGCATATTCAGGCAGTAGCTTATACACCAATAATGAAACACGTCAGCACATACTACAGTTAAAAAAGCAGGAATCAAATCAGAGCCAACAGAAAATGATAAATACATTTTTTTGCATCATAATTACATCCAATGACATGACTCCCAAAGCCTGGATGTGTCCCATGTAGTAAGATAAGATAAGATCTTTATTCTTCCCGAAGGAAATAGTTGTGCCAGAGTTACAAAAGACAATAAACACAGCAGCACAATAATAATAAAACTGTACACTAACAATGCAGTAAAAATAGCAATTCAATAACTACAGGAAACATAGATGGTCACATAATGAATGTAAATATTAACAGTATTTAGTATTTGGTATTCAGTAGCGCAAAAACCGTAACACTGCCTTGTTCCCTGTGTGTCTGCAGGACACTCTGGAGTACAAGAAGAAGCAGAGGCCTCTGAAGATCCGCATGCTGGACGGCACCGTGAAAACCGTCATGGTGGACGACTCCAAGATCGTCAGTGACATGCTGATGACCATCTGTGCCAGGATAGGTCAGCTCCGACACACACACACACTCACACATCAGATGGACTACTCTCTTTAAAAAAAAAAAAAAGTTGTATTCATCTATTCAATATCATACATGAACATCATACATTCTACATACAACAAAGTCCAGGGGCAGACTTAGAAAGCAACAAAACATTACATAAAGTAAATAAAGAAAAAAGGAAAGAAAAATACATTTTCATACTTCATATTAAATATGTTTGCCTTCTTATTCCTGATGTTTTTCATAGTGCTAATATATTGTTTAAATTCTTGATAGAAATGTACACAATTTGGTTTGGAGTCATTTCTTTTTATGGATATGAAATTTCCCTAAAAATACAATTAACAGGACAAAAAAGACTAAATCTGCGTCCATATTTAATAAATGATTTATTCATCTATTCAATATCATACATGAACATCATACATTCAACTTACAACAAAGTCCAGGGGCAGACATACAAAGCAACAAAACATTACATAAAGTAAATAAAGGAACATTAAAAAAGGAAAGAAGAATACGCTTCACGGCGTATACTGCCACCTGAAGTCCCCGGCCGGAAGTCCCCGGAGTTAGGGACTAGTGATGGGATTTATGGCTCTTTGAAGGGAGCTGGATCTTATGGCTCCGTTCCTTTGCGAGAGCCGTTCAAAAGAGACGTTTTTTTAAAGGGGGCGGGGTTAATAGGTTTATCTGCAAAATATACCTTTTTATAATTCAATCAAATGTAGCCCTGTTTTGACGAATGATTGATATGTGTACACATATATGACTTAAATTATTCAATACATAATTTGTACTAAAGTATTCAAAAGTAAAAATGTGGCCAATTGTTTTCATTGCATTTACAGACCCTTGTAATTCTCTGATTGTAGAACCACGCAAAAAAAAAAGCAGATGGCAACACCTATACAAACTGACAACAAATCTTTGCTGAGCCTAAAAATAATCTTAAATAAATAACATAATGAAAATAAATATATTGCAATGCTCAAAACAGCATCATCCAACAGTTTCTAATCCTTGGATATTACATGTCACTGCCTGCATGCACAGAGCACCCGTAGCGCAGAGATCATCATATCATTCTGTCTTGTGTTACGTAACAACAACAAAAACGTCTCGTTCGCAGGCGCGAGCCGGCTCCCGTCGTTCACTTAAAAGAGCCGGCTCCCGTCGTTCACTTACTGTAAAAGAGCCGGCTCTTAGAGAAAATCTGCATCCATCCAATCAGCCCTGAAGTACATAGCGATGTCTCTATCCTGGAGTTGAACCTTTTGTCCCGCCTTTCTTCTAATAGAACATTCTACATCATACCACAATATACGAAAAAACACGCATTCATAAAAATAAAAGGCCAATAGTTTCTTCTTGTAGATTACAAAATGTTCAGGAATATTCAGTAGCTGGACGACTCTCTGATCACATAATGTCACCGCTGATTGTAGGTGATATTGGTTTAATCCTTTGAAGGTAAATGCTGTATTGTGTTTGTGTGCCAGGTATTACAAACTACGATGAGTACTCACTGGTGCGAGACATCATGGAGGAGAAGAAGGAGGAGACCACAGGCACGCTGAAGAGAGACAAGACTCTGCTGAGAGATGAGAGGAAGATGGAGAAGCTGAAGCAGAAGCTCCACACAGACGATGAGTGTACGACACACACCAGATCCACATTTAGCATCATTAGCTCAATGCTGGTTAACCAACTGTGACCAGCATGACCGGGCTTTACTTGAAATTATCAATTCCTTTTTTATCTTGGATGATATAGCTTTTTTGTTTGTGAGGATGTAAAGATATACTGAATAACGAGTGGAACAAACACAGAGGCTCATGTAAACATTAATGGGTGAGGTTCAGAATAAGGAAGGCTAATATTTGACCAGCTATCACACTTGTTTTAAACGCCAAAGAAGACATTGAACAACTCTCTGCTCCTACTAATTATTAACATCAAAGTATACTTTAAGCACCAAAAGTAAAAGCACTCATTATGCAGAAGGGCAAAACTAAGCACCATATGTTTTAAAGGGGACCACCTATCATGCAAAATGCACTTTTTGATGTCTTTTATACATAAAGATGTGTCCCCGGTGTGTCAGGGAACACACGCAGCGTCAGAAAATAAAACCCTCTCTCTTTTCCTCCGTACCCAAATCTCTAAAAACGGGGGAACAACGGAGCTGATCCAGATTTGCGTCCGATATGACGTAATATCTGAAATGTGGACCCACGGCCCTATCAGAAACGTTGCTATCAGAAACAATGCCCGACTGTTTTGGACGTAATATGGTCGGTGTTTACATTAGCATCGCTAACACTCAGAGCTAACCTGTACTGGAGAGCATGGCCGTTTCTCAATCTGGAGGAAACTGGCTTCCAAGCCAATATTTCAAGGATCGAGTGCCCCCGAAGGACTGTTCCAATCTCCAGCATACTTGGAATTCCACCGAGGCCGCGTCCTTGTTTTGGAGGTAATTTCGAGGCTGCACATGGGTAGACTTCGCGTCCTTCAAATCCCCACAATGCTTTGAGCACGGACCAATTTCCCTAAATCTGTGGCGGAAAATTTAAGGCGGGGCCTCTCATATGACGCACACCTGCACACTTGCTAGCCTGTTCCACTCTTCGTTTTCCGAAATCCAGGAAGGATTCTTGCCTAGCTTCTGAAGGAAGTGACTCGGAAGACATGTGCTACCAAGCAAGCATCCTCGCGATTGAGAAACGGCCCATGTGTGTGAAGAAGCAGGAAATAAAAAGGAACTCACCTTGTGGTATAACCGGCAAGAGAGAAAGCCTTTGAGCTCCATACTGTTTCAGAAAGAATCCTTAATAGTCCATGATATGGCGTTTCATCACGGCAGCATTTAGTTTAGACAGTAGCTGCTTTTTTTTTAAAGCTTTATACCCCAAATCAGCACTTTAGAAACAGGAAGTGGAATAGAGGGATATGAGGCATGGCTAGAATGGGTGATCTGTTTGGTATTTTGAGCAAAACACTTCACAGACATGTTTTTTATATTTTTTTATATATCTGAGACCTATGCTATTGCCTAAAAATAGCATGATAGGTGACCTTTAAATGATAATGTTAAAATGATTTGTGTTTTAATGTGTTCATCACTTCAATGTTGCACTTAGTAAAAGTAAGGTTTATTTGAATTCATGTATACTTCTGGGTAATTTAACCAATAGTTATATATGATAATGTATTAGTAGATTTATTTGTTATGTTATTAACCTAAATCTGCAATGTAACTCGTAGCTAAGTCTGTAAATTAAATGCAGTGAAGTAAAAAGGACATTTGCTGACATAATGTAGTGGAGTCAAAGTATAAAGTGACATAAAATAAAGCACACAAACCTACATTACTTGAATGCATATACTCTGTTACATTCGACCACGGCTATAACCATTTTATAAAAACAACTATTTTAGTGTAACTTCTGCACGGAAACAGACTCACTTACATCATCATGAGCTAACGTTATTTCTAAAGTAGCATTAGATCAAGCAGAGCTGTATTGATTGGACATCATCAGTACTCTGCATGTTGTGTGTGGTGTAAATGCCCAATAGTCACGCATATTGAAGCCTTGACCCAGTGAGTTAATGTTTGACGTGTCTCCTCAGTGAACTGGTTGGACCACGGCCGGACGTTGAGGGAGCAGGGAGTGGAGGAGACGGAGATGTTGCTGCTGAGGAGGAAGTTCTTCTACTCGGACCAGAACGTGGACTCCAGAGACCCGGTCCAGCTCAACCTGCTTTACGTACAGGTACACCAACTACCCACAAAGTTTGGAAATCCTTCTATAGTGAGTCAGTTGTTCTCTTGATAATATTTTGTGTGTGTGGACAGGCCCGTGATGACATCCTGAACGGCTCTCATCCAGTCTCCTTCGATAAGGCCTGTGATTTCTGTGGCTATCAGTGTCAGATTCAGTTCGGAGACCACAAGGAGGACAAACACAAGCCTGGATTCTTAGAGTGAGAACCGCATTCATACTCACATATTCACAGGTTTTTCTTTTTAATACACTTGATATTCATTTGATTCTGGTTATACTTTTTACTCCACAGTTTAAAGGAGTTCATTCCCAAAGAGTACATCAAGAACAAAGGAGAGAAAAAGATCTTCCAGGTAAGATGGTCACTGCGTCTTCATCTGATTCTTCATCGATACTAGCCAGTGTTTCCCTTAGGATGGAGTCATAGCAGCGGTGCTAAGGCACGTGGGCCCAGCCTAATGTGAGCCCGGAGCGCGTGGAATCTTTTAGTGCGTGCGAAGTGCGCCCCGCCAACTTGTTTCTATGAGTCTGCCAGTACAAGAAAGGCTCTTGAGGCCTAGTACCAGGGCCGGTTCTAGATAATTTGTTGCCCTAGGCGAGATTTTAGGCGAGATTTTATATATAAAGATGAAATGAAAAATCTCTACAAAAGACAAATACACTACAAAAACAGAAACTTATTGACATAGGTCATATACGTCAAAATGGCTTCAAACGTATTCAGTATTTTATGAACATGTTTAACCTCACCTGAGCTGTGTATCTCTCTCAGTCTGACAGCAGAGGACTCTCCCTCCACCTTGTTGTTGAAACAGCTCCTTATGTCTTTTAGAGCAGCTAGCTAACCAGATGCTAACAACAAAAATACAAGTGCACGCTCTCTCTCTCTCTCTCTCTCTCTGTCTCTGTCTCTGTCTCTCTCTCTCTCTCTCTCTCTCTCTCTCTCTCTCTCGTCTCTGTCTCTCTCTCTCTCTCTCTCTCTCTCTCTCTCTCTCTCTCTCTCTCTCTCTCTCTCTCTCTCTCTCGTGCCATACATACATTCCACACACCCTCCCGAGCTTGAATGACACACAGAGACCAATCGAGGGCTTTGATTTATGATCGGTATGGAAGTGGCCATGTTGGCAGGCCACATCATGTAGACAGACAGTCACCCTGTGTGAGGCAAACGCACATTTGCGCAGCGTTGCGTTCACAATACATAATTTTAAAAAGATCGCCAGACCAGCAGGCCACTTAACAGGCCAGGCCATCGGGAAACCTCCCGGTCCTCCCGATGGCCAGTCCGGGCCTGCCTATTACTTACATACAGTGGCAATGTCTCAAGATTTAGCAAAATACACCTTTTTGAACATACAGTAAGACAAATACTACAAATCCACATAACAAACAATCAAAAAGGGTCAGCACTTATTATTATTTATAAATTAATATTATTTATTTTTTTGGGTACCTGGCTGGCGCCCCCTAGCAGCGG